TTTCAGCACCAAATCTTCACAAATTTATGAGCAGAAATCTCAACATTTAAGTCAATCTTGCAAGTTCTATCATACACCATCTTTAGTAATTGCACAAGAGCAGGTATAGCATAAGTATTTGATTACTTTCCAACAGAACTGGACAACAGGCCTCTCCTCAAGCTCTAAATCTCACTCAGAAACAAAGCCAAAAAGGCAGATTCAAGCCTAGAGATTTCTCAAACCTGAGAGTAGTGGAATTCAGGGCTGAGAATTTGGCCAATCTGTTGTAACAAATAATTCTTCTGAGTTACAACCAGCCTTGGGCTTCCTAGCCACTCATCTTAGTTCTCTTACAGAGCATCCACAGAGATTCAGTGCACTCTCACAATGAATTTAATAAGAGAGGTACGGAGATATGTCATAGAGTTCCTGCCTGTAGTTAAACAGGTTGTAACTTCTATAACTATTGTGGCTGCAAAATGCCACCAAATGCAACAAACTAGAAGAACTGGATGGAACATGGAGCCTTTCCTTTCTACAGTTAGGAAAGAAAATTATACACAGGACTAGGGGAAATGAGTCCCTGACTTCCATTTGCTCCTAAGCACAGACTTGGCACAAAACATAACTATCACCTTCCACCCAGAAGATGGTCTTTTGGCCACAATCCAAGGTTGAGCAGGTTAGTGATTGTGAATGGTACTCTTCTCCATGTTCTCCTGGACACAGCTGTCTAGAGGGGTTTCCTCCAGCCAAGAGTTGAACTCCAGTGGTGGAGAATCTCAGGAAGCTTTCCCTGTCTCTGCTTGTGCAGTATTTGCTCTGTAGAGAACCCCAGTTTTTAGGTTATTTAGAATTGTAGATGCAACTGTGTCAATCCAAACTCATTGTGACTAAGTGGTTTACATGGAAACTGATACCCCAGGAAGGGATTCCCTCCTCTGTCCTCAGAAAGTCCAGAAGCAAGTTCTATTTTATTCTTAGTCAGTGGCGCAGAAGGAAACTGATTGAAAAGTGATTCCCCAGCCCCTCAGAGAGTACAAGGGTTGGATCTATTCTGCAAAAGCAAAAAATCCTGCTTCTCCAGCATGAAGAGCCAAGATCTGCCCTCAACTCTCACTGAACGCACTGGGAGTTCCAACCAGGGTCTGCCCAAAACATATTCTGTGGAAGAAGCGTGTCCTAATGTTGCCTGTGCTGTACCTTCTCTGTACACCTCTCTGTTAGGTGCTTCTCTGGCCCCCAGCCCTAGCATGTCTGAACACCTCTTTCTCTTTCATATGGCATCAGATAGCAACTTCTAAATCTATAAGCCACTGTCTGGTATTCTGGCTCAATGTGCAGATTCTATCTACCCTGTCTGTACACTTGTAAAGATTGCAGCTTTTGATTAAGTGCTATTTAAGTGCTATTTAAGTGCTATTTAAGTGCTATTTGTTGGACACCACCTTCACACAGGGGGCTGTCCAAGATGTTCATCTTGTGCAGTGCTGTTTTGAAATAGCCATAACCAGATCTCACTCTGCTGAGCTTGACCCTCACTTCTCTGCCAAGATTGTACCCAATGGGGTACTCATTTGTGGCTGGTATAAAACACTGTAGGAACAAGTCTAACCTTTCCCAGTGGTCAGCCCACTCCATTGCTACCCATAGATTTGATTCAGTATCCCCAATCTCTTTCAGGAGCTTGTGGCCTTCATATACAAGTGGTTTATGACTTTTGAATCTCTTAAGCCTCAATTTGTTTGAGCCTTCAGTTAACAGTTGATGGAGCAGGTGATTTTCATCATCTCTTGCTTCTATCACCAGGAATGATGTTAGGGCCTGTCTTATTATATCGGTTGGTCTAATGCCTGAGAGTACAGGGAGTACATGGGTGTTTGCATACGTTGTGCAGCCTGTTATGAATCTCAGCATGCTGCTAAGGATAGTGTTGAGCTTCTTAGTGTGACAACTTCTGGACCATAGAGGAGCACAATATTCTGCTGGGGCATATATAAGGTGACCATATGTCCTGGATTGGCTGGAACAGTCCTGGATTTTGGAGGCTGTCTCAGCATCCCAACCATTGCAGAAAATTGAAGCAAAAGTCCCATATTGGCAGGCACCCACTGGCATATGAGGCTCCTGGGGCAGACCCCGCTGGGCTGGGCTGCGAGGGAAGCCTTTTGTATGGTAGTCAGGGGAGGGGTGCGTGCAGGGAGCCATCAGTTCAGGGCTCTGTGTGTGTCTGTGTGTGTACGGCATGCTGTCCTTCCCAGACCCACTCCTGGGAGCCACAGGGTCAGGGCTGTGTGTGTGTGTGGGGTGGGGAGGTGAATGTGTGTGCATCCACACAATCCTTCTGCAAGCCATGGGGTCAGGGTGTGTGTGTGTGTGTGTGTGTGTGTGTG